CACTCCATCCCCTAACACCCTAAGCATCATCCTGCACGCTTCCTCTCATCACATTCACTCCACCGGGCCAGGCCGCTCAGCCTCCTAGCAGCACGCACCCCTTACGGCTCTGTCCCAGCCAGCCCCCGGGGCCCCTTTCATGAACCATGCTGCTCGCTTTCTTAATCCGTCTCCTGCCCCCACTCCCCCACCCACACTCCGGTCTCTAAAAACACGAGTTGGTCATATTATTCCCTCGCTTAATACCTCAGTGGTTGACACTGACCCTAGAATCCAGCACTCCGGGGTTTCTGTGTTCCAGCCACACTGACCTTTTGGTGCTGAATGTGCCGAATGCTGTCTGGTCTCAGGGCCTTACACATGCTGTTCTCTCTGATCAACATTTTACTTTCAAAAATAAACTTCTGACATGTAGAAAAGTACAGGAGTCAGTGTTCAGCTTGATGAAGTGTGAGTGACACTCGCATGTCGCCGCCCCAGGGGGAGAAGTGGAACATGGTGGCTCGCCATCCAGAGTCCCTCTGTCCCTTCCCAGTGACCTCCCCCTGACCCGCAGAGGCGGTCTCTGGTCCCACCTCTTTGTCTGGCTTTAAGCTGAACAGAAATGGAGCCATTCACTCTGTCTTGTCACGTCTGCTGCTTTCTGTCAGCGGCCCGCGTGGGAGACCACCCATGCGGTAGCCTGCTGCCGTGTCGTGTTCGTGTATGGCTCTCCCGGCGTCTGTCCTGTTAGGAATGACACGGTGTGCACATCCTGTGCCTGCCTGGCGGTGCCCATGCGCGCAGCGTGCCAAGGGGTGGGCTCGGGCCTGGGACTGCTGGCCGGAGCTGTGTGTGCGCTGCCCGGAACGCTTGTGCCTCCTTTTCGTTGCTCGCCGCCTGGTCATGCTTCAGGCTGCAGCTGCGAGGCCACTTCTGCAGAGTGTGGGTGAGGTTGGTGCCGTCTGTGGGCTCTGTCCCGGCGCGTCCCGACTGCTCACTTGCGTGTGGATGGCTGGGGGATGCCCGTCTTCCTGACGGAGGGCTGGGCGCTGGGAGCTGGCAGGCATTCGGCGCAGACCTGTTGCTTGCATGTGTGGAAGGTGGTTTTATTTTGGCCTGTTGCCAAGATTGAAATGTGTAGCGTAAGTGGAGCATTCCTTTGGGTGGTTTAATGTCTTCCAGCCGGAGTTTAATTATTTAATTATGCAGAGGAAGCCTGGGCCTGGTAGAACATGCTTCCCTGGTGTGTGCGAGGTGGAGAGCGGCTCTCCTGCGGCCGGTTCCGTGCTCTCCGGTGCGGTGACCCGCACCTCGGAGACGGTCCAACGGGTAGAGGTGGAGTGGGATGAAAGACCAAGAGACAGGGTTGGGAGGACTGGCACAAGGCACCAGCACCAGCACCAGTACCAGTCACTTTATTCTTTACACACACTGCTTTATAGCTGAGCTGTGGCTGGTCATGCTTCATAGATCACTGCTAGGGCTCGGCCTGTCATAGGGAAGTAACAGATCGTTACGAGCTGGGCAGACTGGGCAAGCTTTGCCTAGATCCATCTATGTTTGACAGTTACTATGACAATCAGGTTATGTTTTAGTAACTGCACTTTTGCCCCTTACTAGTTTTAGCAACAGTGGTCGTGCCTCAGTCAAGCCTTGTCTAGTTCTGCTTTGCTGCAAACTCTAATTAAGCCTTTCCTGAGCTTCGACCTTAAAACCTTCCAGGATCGACATAGGGTAGAGTCCAGGGCTTTGCCATGTCCTCTGGTCAGCTTAGACTTTGCCAGCAGCATGACGGTCCCCAACACTCCGGTGAACCACCCGACCTCCAGTCTCGCCTGGAACCCAGCGGCCGTGCCGCCTCTTCGCTGGGCCTTTCTGCCCGAGGCTCCGGGTCTGCCTTCCCCGGTGCTGCCCGCATGCAAATCCCTTGCCCACAAACCACGGGGCGTGCAGCCACAGGCAAGACGTGGTTCTAGGAAGGTCACGCTCACTGTCATCCTGTTCTCTCATTCTCGCTAACTTTCTTTAGTTCCCTGTCCCCTCCCGGCCAGCCCGAGAGGCAGGCTGTCCCCATAGCTCCCTGTCCCCTCCCGGCCAGCCCGAGAGGCAGGCTGTCCCCCAGCTGGGCGGCGTGGCCTCAGCAGTGTTGACAGTGGTGAGCAGCTCATTGTGGCAGGAGCGGGACCTGAGCTTCCTGTCCCCACGCCCGGACTCCGTTTCCATTATCCTTGCACGTGGCTCTGCCCAGCACCTCACACACCTTAGCAGGTGACAAGCCCCAGGTTTAAACCTGGTTGGAAGTAATTAACAACGCCTGTCTCCCCACGCCCACCCTCACGTCCCACCAGACACCCGGCATCGCCTTTGCATTTCCAGACGTCCCCATGAGGAATTGTTAAATTCCAATAAGAGAGCATTCAGGTACTGTCCGTGCCAGGGGAAAGTGTTTCTCTTCTGCCCTGGCCAGTGTGCCCAGTGGTTAGGGCGTCGGCCCGAGAACCTAAGGGTCATGGGTCCCATTCCCTGTCGGGGTACGGACTGGGTTGTAGGTTAGACCCCGGCCCCAGTCAGGGCACGTGTGGGAGGCAACCAGCCGATGTGTCTCTCTCACATCCATGTTTCTCTCCCCCGCCCCTCCCTTCTCCCTCTAAAAAAAAGGCGGGGGGGAATATCTTTGAGTGAGGATAAAAAAAAGTACCTCTTTTTATGTATTATTTTTTTTAATATATTTTATTGGTTTTTTACAGAGAAGAAGGGAGAGAGACAGAGAGCTAGACACATCAATGAGAGAGATCGATCAGCTGCCTCCTGCACGCCCCCCACTGGGGATGTGCCCGCAACCAGGGCACATGCCCCCGACCGGAATCGAACCCGGGACCCCCGAGTCCGCAGGCCGACGCTCTATCCACTGAGCCAAACCAGTTCGGCTTATGTATTATTTTAAACAAAACAATTCCTCTGGTGCTGAGCCTCTCGATTCGTCTTGGTCTAGCAGATGCACACTCAGCAGCCGCAGGGCCAGCGTCTCCGTGTGGGGTTGGTGTTGGGCTGAGATGCAGAGAAATGAGACCGGGCTCCTGTTGCTCGTGGGACACAGTGTGTGCGGCATGTGTGACACAGAGACCGTGTGTGCGGCGTGTGACACAGAGACCGTGTGTGCGGCGTGTGTCACAGAGACCGTGTGTGCGGCGTGTGTGACAGAGACCGTGTGTGCGGCGTGTGACACAGAGACCGTGTGTGCGGCGTGTGACACAGAGACCGTGTGTGCGGCGTGTGTGACAGAGACCGTGTGTGCGGCGTGTGACACAGAGACCGTGTGTGCGGCGTGTGACACAGAGACCGTGTGTGCGGCGTGTGTGACAGAGACCGTGTGTGCGGCGTGTGTGACGCAGAGACCGTGTGTGCGGCGTGTGTGACAGAGACCGGCTGACCTGCAGCCAGCGGGGTCAGGGAGAGGATCGGGAAGGAAGTGGCGACTGCGGTAGTTATTGGAGGGGGGATGCGAGTATTTGGAACGATGACTGACGGGTATTCCCGACGGAAAGAACGCGGACCGAGGCGGGGAGGGGAGAGGGGCTGCCCTGGACTCTGTGGGATAGGAAGGGCAGGGGGGTGCACCCTGAGCCATTCACCGGTTTGCACGGTGTGTTAAAAGGGCCTGGCTTTCTTATCCTAACTCATCTCGCAGTGGGAGACGCTCACCTTATTTTCCAGAACTAAATTGCTGAGAAATGAGACAGTAATTCACTTAGGTCTCTCCCTCTTACACCGTCTATTTCTATGTATTTCATGGAGTTTCATAGAACAAAGGAATCTCTTCCTCGTTAAGAAGAATGCACAGGGCGGGGCTAACGGTATTATCAGAGTTGATGTCGCAGCGCCCGCCGGTTGGAGATGAGGCTGCTTCCTGGGGAAGGTGCAGGCGGGCTGGGGCGGGGGCGGGAGGGAGAGGAAAGGATTTGGAGGGAGGCAGAGGGAGCCAGGGTCCGGGCCTTTCTGCACGTGTAGGTGTGAGAGGTGTTGTTTGTAATTGTCCTTTGAGATTCTAGCTGTTGGTTACTTTTCTTTGGTTCTCTGTCAAATTTTTAATCAATGTATTTGCTAAGAACTAGGAAGACTTTTCCTTTAAAGTTCCAGAGGGTGTTTTTGTTGTTGTTTTTTTCTTAGTATATCAATCAAACAGGCTGCCGTACAGAAATGGTTCTGTGGGCTGTGTCATTAGCAAGACAACATCGATTTTATTGTGGGAGAAACAGGACAAGGCAGGCGGAAGATTTCCCGTTCCCGTGCAGGCTGTGTGGTGGTTATTTCATTCTGCAAACGTGCCGGTCCTTGGGTGTGAAACCCTAGCCTGCCTGTGGGGATGGGAGGGCGAGGCGGGCAGACACAGTGTCGGTAACAGGAGGACGGGGCGCTGACCGAGCTGTGCGGGGGGTGCAGAAAGGCTCCCAGAAAGTGGCCTTCTGCCTGGTGTCTGTGAGTGAAGGGAATTTGCCAGGAGGCCGCGGTGGGGAGAGCCCTGCAGGCAGGAGGCCAGGCTGTGCGGACTGTGAAAGGGTGAGTGAGCGCACTGGTGAGAGTGGTGAGAGCAGGGGGTGCAGGAGTGGGGGTGATGAGAAACGAAACAGGAAGGGTGCCTGGAGGCCAGTTCAGAGAGAGCTCTGGTTCGGGCCTGTGTTACCCTGGCGGGGACATCAGAGCGGAGGTTCTAGTCGTACAGCAGTCAAACCCGTCAGCAGGGAGGAAAGAAAAACCAACCAACAGCCCCAAACGCAGCTTGCTGAAGGCCTGGTTATGCGGTGGGTGGGAGGGACGGTCAGTAGGTGGCGCTGGCGCCTGGGCTCAGCCTTTGGGAAGAACGTTCAGGCTACAAGTCGGAGGAAGTGCTTTTGCCTCGCCTTTGCTGAGAATATCAGACTTAGATTTAGAAATGTTTGGTTGAAACTCTGACTTTATAGGTAAATAAAACCTGATGTGTCAGGTCTTACTTCTGATCCCAAAACTTTTTTCTTTTGTAGCCTCTGCAGAAAAGGAGGCCATCAAGAGTACATACTCCAAAGTGCTGGATGCCTATGGACTCCTGGGTGTTTTACGACTCAATCTGGGTAAGTGTCTCATCAGCATAATTAACCTGGGCAGGCGGCGAGCCTTCCGTCAGCCGACATCATCCCAGATTAGACTGATCAGGGTTGAGAGCCGTCACCACGCGGCAGCTCACATGTGGAGTCTGAAATGATTGACACTCTCTCTCAAATCCTTCGAGTCACTGCAGTCTGCTCTCCGCAGGTGACAGCACGCTACATTATCTGGTCCTGGTCACCGGGTGCATGTCTGTGGGGAAAATCCAAGAATCGGAAGTGTTCCGAGTGACTTCCACGGAGTTCATATCCCTACGAGCCGACTCTTCAGATGAGGATCGCATTTCAGAAGTGCGCAAGGTGCTGAACTCAGGGAACTTCTATTTCGCGTGGTCTGCCTCGGGGGTCAGCTTGGACCTGAGCCTTAACGCCCACCGCCGCATGCAGGAGCACACGACCGACAACAGGTTTTTCTGGTGAGTCCGTGAAGCGGCCGCTGCGGGCCAGCGTGGACTCAGACGGCGGAGCAGGCGTTCAGCCGCACACCTTCTGCCCCAGAATCCTCAGCGGGCAAGGCAGACGCCCACTGTCACTTCGTAGAAGTTGTCATGAAACCTATTTGCTCTCCCTGATCTCGACTGACCTCTCATTTCAGAAATATCTTTCAGATCTATAGTTTAAAATTAGGAATGAATTCGTTGTAATAGGATTGTGTTACTCATTTTATTGTTCTCAGTTTTGAGATCTTGTCTCTGGCAGTATTGCCCTTCTAAGCCAACATTCCAGCTATTTTAATTTCATTTGACTCGGTAGGAATGGGATGCAGGTCAAGGTCAGTGCTGTGAGTAAGTGGGAAGGAGCAGAGGAGGAGATGGTGTGGGAGGCCGGGAGGGCGCAGGTGAGGACAGGTTCTGCTCTCGTGCCAGCCCTGCGCCTCCCTGAGGGACAGACACAATCCCGGGAAAGGTGAAGGAAGGCGCTGCACTGGGCACTGGTCACCTGCCTCGGGTCTCGTTTCACACCCGCCCCCTGAGGCCTAGCGTGGGACGTACACGAGCCGACAGACTCCCGGTGCCTTGGTTAACGGCGTGCCCGGGAGGACGGTGCTGTGCTGCCCGTGCTCGGGACTGAGGCGGCCCGCCTTTCTCCCAGGAACCAGTCTCTGCACCTGCACCTCCAGCACTACGGCGTGAGCTGTGACGACTGGCTGCTGCGCCTCATGTGCGGCGGCGTCGAGATCAGGACCATCTACGCGGCTCACAAGCAGGCCAAGGCCTGCCTCATCTCCAGGCTGAGCTGCGAGCGCGCAGGGACCAGGTTCAATGTCCGGGGCACCAACGACGATGGCCACGTCGCCAATTTTGTGGAAACGGAGCAGGTACCAGGGTTTTGTTGCTCCACTCCTGTGGGCGGGGGACGCACAGGAAGCGGTAGGGCCGCAGTAGGGTGGGGACGCTCTCCGAATAGGAGCAGGCACGGCCCGCCAGGGCGTAAACTTTGTTCTTGAATTTAAAATCTTCGTTGACAGAGCTAGACAACTTGGGAAAAGTGTTTTTCTGTGAAAGGAAGTCAATCCCAACTCTCATCTGTAGATATTTGAACCATCCAAACTTAAAAATGTGATATTTTTTGCTGTGAAACTATATATTTGCAAATTTAGTCCACACCTCAAGCCCAGCCCACATCTTCAAATTAATTTTTTAAAAATATGAAAAACTAAAGAAAAAAGTATGTGAAAATAGAAAGGTATGTGTATAAAAAATAGAAAGGTATGTACTGTTTAACAGGAATTCCTTTTTAAAAGTTGTGATTCCTATGCTTATATTCCTAACTAGAGGCCTGGTGCATGAATTTGTGCATGGGTGGGGTCTGGCTAGCCTGCCCCAATGGGGGCCAATTGGGCTGGTCAGCCGGAGGGCGGGGCCACGGGAAGTTGGCCAGCCGGCCCCACCCCACGCCACTGGTCGAACTCCGGATTGAACTCCCAGTCGAGGGGACAGTTTGCATGTTAGCCTTTTATTTTTTTTTAAATATATTTTAGTGTTTTTTTAAAGAGAGGGAGGGAGAGAGAGAGAGAGAGAGAGAGAGAGAGAGACAGAAACATCGATGAGAGAGAAACACCGATCAGCTGCCTCCCGCACATCTCCCACCGGGGATGTGCCCGCAACCCAGGTACATACCCCTGACCGGAATCGAACCCGGGACCCTTCAGTCCGCAGGCCGACGCTCTATCCACTGAGCCAAACCAGTTTCGGCAGCCTTTTATTATATAGGATATTTTTCTGGTTAATACAGGTTGGGGCAAAAGTGCCTTATAGTTAGGAGTACACACAAAACAGAATTTAACCTTGTATTATTATTATTTATTAATTATCGTATTATTTTCCACACAAACAATTATAAACCTACTTTTGCCCCACCCTGTATATACAGGAGATATCTTATTAAGACAATTTGTATATGAGAGGTGGGTCATAAGATACAACCTGTGCAACCAATATTAGTCAGTTTGTCTCCTGACATAGAGGTGGCAGCCATGCCTGCGGAACTATTTTATCCGTGCTTCTCTCTACAGGTCGTGTACTTAGATGACTCCATTTCTTCCTTCATCCAAATCCGGGGCTCGGTTCCGTTGTTCTGGGAGCAGCCAGGCTTGCAGGTAGGTGTTCGACGTTGTTGTTTTTTCCTCTTGAAAGTTTCCATATGTTTTAAGTTTCCAGGATCGTTTGTTGGTTCATTGGAGAGTTCTGTTATTCAATCTAATATCAGCTAGGTTCATAAACAAGGATCTGAGTGCGGAGTTCCTGGAATTGTATCAGGCATTTTTCCCTGTGATGTTTTTCACATCCAGAGACACTCAGCTGCTGTGTTTGGTGGTGAAATCAGGGTGTCTTCACAGCATGTTGATTGTCAGGGTCTCCATATTTGCTCCTCAGTAGCTTAGTACAGAACAACTTAGCCTCTGGGCGGGAAAATGCCGCCTCTGAAAACTGAGCTCTGAGTAATCGTCCCTCTCCCGCGGCTGCCCTGGGCCTGGGCGGGTCTGTGAAGGGAGTGGCAGGGGCAGCGCAGCTGCTGCTGAGGGTTCTCGTGTGGACGGAATGGAGGTGCGCAGACCAGTGCCTGGCACGCGCGGCCAGCACTGTGGAAGGGGTCGCTGCTTACCCGTATCTTTCACAACTAAAATTTTCTCTTAGTTTACACGTGTTTCATAATGGCCTGAACTTCTAGCTCTTTTGTTATGAGGTTGCATTTTAAAAAATCAAAGGGAGGAGAAACTCCTAGAACTGCCTTTTTTTTTAGAACTTGTCTTTTTAAGAGACTGGTGAGTGGTCAGTGACCTGGCGCCCTGCTCTGTGCTCAGCGAATGCGTGACTGCACACGGCGGCGGTTTGTCTGTGGTCTCATGGTGGCTGTTGGTGTGACCACATCTTTCTTGTCCCAGGTGGGCTCGCACCGTGTCCGGATGTCCAGGGGCTTCGAAGCCAACGCGCCCGCCTTTGACAGGTAGGCTGGTCTGTGTACAGGTGCTCTCGGTTTTGAAGTTGTTAAGCGGTGGGACCTGTGGTCATTACATTTACGGATTCATTCTACGGTTTTCGGCTCCCAAGTAAAATGTCTTCTGATCCTGACTTAACCGGAGACAGTGTTACGACCTCTAGCAGTGGCCGCACTGGTCTCAGCCTTAAGACTCCCTGCGGGTGGCTGCCCAGCACCACAGCCCTGAGCCCTACGTCGCTGCTGGGTACATAACTGGCCCGTATTGAGACGTGCTGGAGTGTAAAGTATACACTGGATTTCAAGCACTTAGTGCAAAACAAAGAATATAAGTGACTGTGACAGTATTAACATTTTTCAGTACATTGATCACAGGTGCAGTGAGGTTTTGGTTGCACTGGGTTAAGTGCTCACGGAGGCTGTGATGTCCTCGGGTGTGAGGGGCAGCCCTGCGCCCTCTGCCCGCCCAGCGCGTGTTCTCTGTGCTGGGCCAGCACCGGGCTCCCGGGGGAGGGACCGGGGATCCCACAGCGCCGCACCGGGGGGCTCGGCGCCCAGAGTCAGAGAGGACGCTGACTGACTGAGCTCTCTTCCTTTCCTGAGACCGCGTGGAATGCATCTGTATTCAATTTTGCTGGTTCTATGAGTTTAAACAGAACCATGTTTAAACTGATTAATAATGGATTCTTATTTCTTGGGGGGAAAAATGTCACCTTATCACTTGACATGTGCTTGTTTTCTTTGTTTAACAGGCATTTTAGAACACTCAAGACTCTGTATGGCAAACAAATAGTAATCAACCTGCTTGGATCTAAGGAAGGTGAACACATGCTCAGTAAGGCCTTCCAGGTAAGGAGGGTGTGACCCTCTGCCAGAGGAAATGGCTTCCTAGAGAAAGGTGATGCTCGTGGGACGTGAGCCTTCGGGCTGTTAGGAAAAGGTGGAGGGTGAGGTTGTGAGCCTGGGTTGTGGGAAGTTGTCAAGGCAGTTGACACTTTCCTGAAGTGGGCTTGTTGCTATGGTGGAGAAGCAGAAGATCCTCCCCCAAGTGTCTCTCTGTCCAGGCAAGGCCCAGACGGTGTCCTCCTCCCACTGGTGTGCTCCTCCCCCTGGTGTGCTCCCCCTGTGTGCTCCTCCCCCTGTGTGCTCCTCCCCCTGGTGTCCTCCCCCTGTGTGCTCCTCTCCTGGTTGCCCCTCCACCTGCAATCACTTGCCCACTGATGGAAACCAGTCACTGTTAGCCCTGAGGGGGTGATGAATGCCTTGATGTACAGCAGGAGCACACCTTCTCGTGCTGATGAGAGGAATGTGAGAATTTCAAGTAAAAGATAAGCCGTCTGAAGAGAACATTCTTCACTAACACCAATTTAATAGTAATATCAACTGTGATGTTATACAGAATTATAAGCTTCAACAGAACGGTTAGAAACAAGTGCTCCTCCCCCTGGTGCGTTCCTCCCCCTGGGGTCCTCCTCTCCCTGGTGTGCTCTTCCCCCTGAGGTCCTCCTCCCCCTGCTGTGCTCCTCCCCCTGGTGTGCTCCTCCCCCCGGTGCACTCCTCCCCCTGGTGCACTCCTCCCCCCGGGGTCCTCCTCCCCCTGGTGTGCTACTCTCCGTAAAGTGCTCCTCCCCCTGTGTGCTCCTCCCCCTGGTGTCCTCCCCCTGTGTGCTCCTCTCCTGGTTGCCCCTCCACCTGCAATCACTTGCCCACTGATGGAAACCAGTCACTGTTAGCCCTGAGGGGGTGATGAATGCCTTGATGTACAGCAGGAGCACACCTTCTCGTGCTGATGAGAGGAATGTGAGAATTTCAAGTAAAAGATAAGCCATCTGAAGAGAACATTCTTCACTAACACCAATTTAATAGTAATATCAACTGTGATGTTATACAGAATTATAAGCTTCAACAGAACGGTTAGAAACATTTCCTTAAATTCAGTCTAATGAGCTCCAGAATTATTCAGCTATTTTGTTTTAACTTTGTGAAATAAATGTTATTAATAAACAGATTATACATTAGGGAGTAACTTTTTATGGTAAACTTTCAAAGCATTTGTATGTATTGAACAAAGATATAAAAAAGAATTTTATGTTTTATAGTCTTTGTCTTAAAACAAGAGCCACTTTGAGATTTATGGTAGATATAAACAGTTATTAAATTTGGATTGTAAACATAAATGCAAGTGGGTGGAAATAGCTTTTCATTTTCTAAACCGGATGAGAATGTTACTAAGTCCTCTGGTCGCCCATCACCGCGCCTCTCGGGACGGGCGGGAGGGCTGGGGAAACATGGCAGTAGACACTGGCTGCTGCGGGGATGAAAGCCTTGCCCGTCAGTGTTGCATTTCGGGGTCAGGTTCCATCACGGGTACACGGGGGCCGCGTGCGCGACCCATGGTGAAGCCTGCCTTTCCCTCCCAGAGCCACCTGAAGGCCTCGGAGCACGCCGCCGACGTGCAGATGGTGAGCTTCGACTACCACCAGCTGGTGAAGGGGGGCAAGGCCGAGAAGCTGCACAGCGTCCTCCGGCCTCAGGTCCAGCGGTTCCTCGATTACGGCTTTTTTCATTTCGACGGAAGTGACATTCGAAGGTTCGCCTGCTCGGTCTCTCTTTCCTTTAAATTGGGACTTTGCTATAATTTAAAAATGACTCTTAACATTACACCCTTAAATGGCCTTTTTAAAATTAGAGTTTATAATGACTATACTTGATTTTAGGTTTGTTTTTCTTCAGAATTCAGCCGGTAAGAACAATAGCTTGCTTATTGGGTGCATACTGTGGCCAGGCAGTGCCCCTGGGTTTCCACGTATCAGCAACAGCGGCAAGGCCCTATTTTATCCCTTTTTGCAGGGGAGGAAATGGAGGCACTGGCGTAGCCTGCCCCTCGTCCTGACCAGGGTGTGTGAGAGCTGGAATCCTTCAGGCTCCCGACCCCAGCCTGGTACTGAGAGGCTGTTCCACTTCTCTCTTAAAAGGATGTTTTAATATTTTTGCCTCGTAAAGACAACTAAATGCAGCTGAAACCGGTTTGGCTCAGTGGATAGAGCGTCGGCCTGCGGACTGAAAGGTCCCAGGCTCGATTCCGGTCAAGGGCATGTACCTGGGTTGCGGGCACGAAGTAAAAGACGTTGCGTATTGTCTGCTTTAGGGTAATTTAGAGTTAGCTTTTGCATATGAAGTAGAGGAGAAAAGTAAGTATGGAAAGATTGGAATTAAGAATATAGGTTGAGGTAAACTTTGGTAAACAAAGCTCACATTTTTTCAGTGTACAGTATTTACTCTATGTTAATGCTATAGAAACTTCATAGGACAGTCAATAGAGATAAGAGATCTTAAGTGCCAGGCCAGCTCAGCCAAGGGTTCGGAGAGCCTGAGGGAGGGCAGTGAAGGATTGAAGAAAAGACAAAGAATAAGCTGGGTCTAGGTGGGTCTTCCTGTGCCTGGCTGAGGCCACAGAGAGAGACCCAGAGGCAAGCTGAGCCTTTATGTTATGGCCAGAGGTAAACAAGGTCGTGGTCACCATAGTTACAGTGTTCTTGTGAGTTTCACTTGATTTGGCAGCACTGGCTGCACCTCCCACAGCCCATTAGCTACCGAGGAAGGATCTAGGGAGCATCATAAGGTCAAGCCTCATTATGCTTAGAGGGCTGTGCCCTCTAAGCTGGGACTTGTTTGTGGCTTTGCCAACAGATCAGTCCTTAAATGTTTGGTATCTTTTATGTGCAGAGAACTATGGTGTTGTAAGTCTAAATGTGTTCTTAACTGCTGGGCTAGGTAAGAATAAGTGGGTGTGGAGGAACATGCAGGTATGTGATAAAGAACAGGTGGCAAAATGGTAGCAGCTGTAGGACCTGGTGAGTAGACAGATATTCACTGTAGAGTTCCTCCACCTTTCTTCTATGTTTGAAAATTGTAATGATAAAAAGTTGGGGGCAGAAAGTGGATGCTACCTTTTAATCACCTTAATTTTTCTCAGTTTGTTTGAGTTCTGTTGTTTTTTTCTCAAACAGGCTCTTTAACTTGAGTGACTTTGTTGCAGGTGCCAGAGTGGGACCGTCCGCACCAACTGCTTGGACTGCCTGGACAGGACGAACAGCGTGCAGGCCTTCCTGGGCCTGGAGGTAAGGAGCCAGCGTGCGTGTGCGTGGCCGTTGCTGTGCGTGGCCGTCCTGTGTGTGGCCGTGCTGTGCGTGGCCGTCCTGTGTGTGGCCGTGCTGTGCGTGGCCGTCCTGTGTGTGGCCGCCTTGTGCGTGGCCGTGCGGCACCTCTCAGTGGCGCTCATGACCGCCCCCAGAGCAGTTAGGTTCAGTAAAGGCATCTCCCTTCTACTCTTTTTTCACCCCAACATCCCTCGTCTTTTTAGTTCCCTTTACCTGTTTTACTCCACCTATAGCTGTGTTTCCCTCCGTTACTCCTTAACTGTCCCTATAAACCCAGCGCTGCTGCTTCTCCTAGTCCAGTAACGGCCTCTTTTGCCTCCTTTCGAAGAAGAAGAAGAAGAAAGACGTATATATCTGTACTGTCCTCGTTCTCTGTGTGGTCACTGAAAGGTTTCTTGGATGGAGAGGCTCTGTGACCATGCCCAGCCTGTAGGGTGCGTTTGGACGGTCTGTACCCAGTGCAGCCTGCGTGGCATCTGCCAATCCGTGGCTCTGAAGGACTGGACTGTGTTAGCAAGAATGGAAGTGAATGAGATTCAGCTTCTCGAATGGTCTTTGTGTAAAGACCCCTTTTCCTCTGCCTCTTAACCATCAGGGCCAGTCAAATGCAGACACAGTGTCCGTGCCGGACACACTGCCTCTGTGCCCGCCAAGTCCTCCGTCCCGCGCGGTGAGGGCCGCGGCTGTGGCGGGTCTTCACTTACTCCTTCCACAGGGCAGGAAGTCCCGCCTTCCTAGTCCTCGTGCATGGTCTGACCGGGGGCCGGAATGGTGGTTGATTAGTTGCCGGAGCTGCAGTTCTTTCTGTCTCAAAAATGAAATCACAGTGTGTAGAATTCTCTGCTACGGAAATGTCTTTTGAGACATTTCTCAAGTAACTAAATAAATTTTACTGTTTGCCCTTTCTGAAATCTGTCGTTGAGATTTATCATTATAACGTACTTAGAAAATATGACAGACAAGAAAAGTGAAAGCGGGCATTTGGCCTTTTGGATGGAGTGTATTGTGTGGCTCGGTGCTGCTAACTGTTTTTAGCTGGTTGGATGCATTGATGTGGGTTCTGAGAGCGAGTTGACTGAGGCACTTCAAAGATTTGTTAAAAGTGCAACAGGTTTCACTTTTCAGAATCTGACTCGGCTGGTTATCCACTGTTGATAGTCAGGAGTGAGAAACTGGTTAAGTGGTTACCACATTTCCTAGTAAAGCAGGCACAGCCAACCGAGTAGTGAAGACCAGTTGGCCCACCTTCTTAAAGATGAGCGGTCGGAATGGTGACGGCGGCCCTGCCAGCAAGGAACGGCGCTGGTACCGGCCCTGGCAGTCAACCCCGGTGAGGGTTTTCATAGGATTTTAGTTTTTGATCCCGTGAGGTGTGGGGGTAGTACCCACCCTGATAGATAAGGTAAAAGAAAACCCAAAGAGGACGGAGTTCGGTGAATTCCAGGGTGCGTTGTGACTGGACTCCCAGTGAGAGAAGGGCCAGATCCGGGCTGTGCGTTGCTTCGACTGCCGGGTGAGGCACAGTGCGTCCTGAGTAAGGGCATTGGCTTTCTGCACACTCACTGCGCCCGGGATGGGATTGTGGTGGCCAGAGACCCTGCCGCTGCCCTCCTCCAGGCCCCGGGCACCCAGCACTGACGTTAGTGTTGGTTGTGACAGTTCAATAGCAGCTCTTTTTCCTCATCATCTCCGGACCTTACTACCCAAACGTACAGAACTAAATCTAAAAACTAAAGGGACTGAGTTATTCTATATACATGTAGATAAACTAGGTCAATGTTTTTTCTGCTCTGCTCCATGCTGTTGAATAAGTAGTTCTTTTAGATGAACAAGGTAAAGTAGTATGATTTATAGGGATACTTTCATACGATTTTATCATTTAGCCGGAAAGATGTTCTTCTTACTACAAGGGAATATTCAGTTGCTTGTAAGTTTCATTGATGTGGTATTTACTTTAAAAATAGAAATGGTGGGAAACAACACAGCCTCGTGAACTGTTAACGTTTTTAGAATCCAGTCCTACAGAGTCCTATGACTGCAAATTTTCAGTTTACTCCTGGTAGCTCTTAAAAAGTCACATCACAATGAACGTATTAACACACTTACAAAAGTCACTCTTGGCTGTTGCAGATGCTGGCGAAACAGCTGGAAGCCCTCGGCTTAGCTGAGAAGCCCCAGCTGGTGACTCGCTTTCAGGAGGTTTTCCGCTCCATGTGGTCGGTGAACGGCGACTCCATCAGTAAGATCTATGCCGGGACCGGGGCTCTGGAAGGAAAGGCCAAGGTGAGTGGCTCTGTTGAATTAGACAAGGCCCTCCTTCCCTCTTGGAAAGGCTTTTCAGTGCCTCTTTATTAATTAAGAGGGTTTTCAAGTTCCCTCTAGAATTCTGCCTTATCATGTCTTTACTCCTCTTTCTCTCCTCCTCCGCTCGGGGCCCTGATGGAGAAGGAGGTAGTTTGTTCCCCAGGTTGGCAGAGGCGGCTGTATGACAGACATATGTAGTCATTTAGTGAGAATCCCTGAGGCCTGTATGTAACATGCTTGCATTTTTAAAAAATGACTCTTCCCTTGCATATTTGTTTTACTTTTTATGCTGTTATCTGTAATAATAAAAACATAATATGCTAATTAGACCAGACAGCTGAACAACCTTCCGGCCGTCCTTCTGGCCAAAGCCACAGCAGTGGGGGCAGAGGCCGTTAGGGGCGATCAGGCAGGCAGGTGAGCAGTTAGAGGCAATCAGGCAGGCAGGCGAGTGGTTAGGGGTGATCAGGTAGGCAGGCAGCAAGCAAGCGGTTATGAGCCAACAGTCCCGGATTGCGAGAGGGATGTCCAAGGGGTCCCAGATTGCGAGAGGGTGCAGGCCGGGCTGAGAGGACCCCCTTCCCCCGTGCATGAGTTTTGTGGACCGGGCCTCTAGTTTTTATTATAAGTAGGATGTTTTTAACCATGATCTTCATAATAAAGGGTCCTATCATATTTGGCTTTGGGTCCCCAGCACTTAACACAGTGCCTTCCATTTAATAAACTTATGACAAACGCTGGATGGACAGATAAATCAGTGGACAGTTTCTGCAACACCTACTGCGAGCCCAACATTATTAAGGCTTAACGGTTATGTTTTTATGCTTTACTTACTTTACCTTGAAAATGAGACTTAGGAAAATGTGCAAAAGAAGTGTGAGCTATGGACTTAATTATAATTCTGGGCCTCATCGTGGCAGTTTAATTGCTGGCATGACCTGCAGACTATTTTCCACTCTAATATTGGGCCCATATTGAGGGACTTTGGAAACATACTTGAGATATTTTTCATTATTTTATATACAATAGGGACATTTTAAGGCTCGTGGCCCCAGGTGAATTTTAAATCTCTGCAGTTCCTCAGATTGCCTCAATAGAAGCAGGACAGTCAGCACTGCTTCTCACTCAGCCTCTTCCTTCATGCGGCCAGTGACCTTCTGTGAGACACTCACCATCCCCGAGTGCTTGTCCCTCCCACGTCTGCCTCCCTCCCGCATCACAGCCGCCACGTGGCCCGAGGCCCTGCCTGCCACTGCCTGCCAGTGCCCTCTGTTCACATCATAGAGTCACACGTCCTGACATTTCGATATGGTCTTCTAAGGGATCCTGTTTTTTAAAGCCTAAAATTGTTAAGCTGTCCTTTATTCAGTTTACATAAAGAACATAATTCTTGCTATTACAACCTGATGCTCTACAGCTGTTGCTTAAAATCCTCTTCAGTGTTCTCTTGCCTTTTTGTTCCGCAGCGACTGCGACAATATACGTACAGAGGTTACATATGTTGTCAGTAGTCTTTTACTCTAACCTGATAGATACGAAATTTTATATGTTAATTACTTGTCTGCATTGAACTAAAATCTAACATCTGCACTGTTCTTTCTTTTCCTTTCTCTGGGTTCGTTTTGATTAATTGCCTGATAATGTGAATGGTGAGTGTCTTTTCAAATAATGTCCTTTACGTATGAAATTATATGGGAGGGAATAACATTTTAAGCCTCAATTACTGTTAGTTTTTTAAGGAATAAAAATAATATATTGTAAACTATTTTCCTAAAAGGCAAAAGTTTTGTTTTTTTTAAAGCGATTATCAAAATCTGTAAGATCAACATAAGTCTCCATGGTAACTAACATGCCTCAGTAATTATATGCTCATTGACCATTATAAACTCTCCCTGTAGGAATTAGCCCAAGTTTATTATTTTTGTTAGGTACATATACACAGGTAATACAATGGCCTAAAATGTAAATGGTAGTTTATATGTAATCTATATTAATAAGTTTCTTTTTAGACTAGGCCTTCATTCTTCTGTTCAGTTATAGCTGTAACTAAGGAAGTTACTAGGGAATAGTTTCAATTTTATTTTCTACTATTAAAGCCCTTTACAGCTTTCATAAGAGCCTATGAGTGCAGTGTATCCTCCTCTCTCCCCCTGCTTCTCCCGCCCCATCTCCAGTCTGCAGTGATGATGTAGAAGTGACTTCCTGTTGGAGTGCCCTCAGTCCCCTCTCCCTGGAAACAGTGCTGGACGATCGGCGCCCAGGTGTCCTCACGTGGTGGCACTGAGCTTCCATCTCTGGGCAGCGCTGTGGTCCAAAGAGGAAGAGAAACAGTGGCATCCTGAGCCATTTTAATGTGATGATTCAAAATAGAATGGTTAGGTCCTTTATTGCAGTACAATTATGTCACCCTTACGTTTCAGAATACCTGCTGCGTGGAAATGGCACGATTAGAATGAGAGTCCTTGCTCCTTTCTCCCCCGACAGGCTGGGAAGCTAAAAGATGGTGCTCGCTCTGTCACTAGGACGATTCAGAATAACTTCTTTGACAGCTCCAAGCAAGAGGCCATTGACGTTCTGCTCCTGGGAAACACTCTAAATAGTGATTTAGCTGACAAAGCGCGAGCACTTTTAACCACTGGAAGTTTGCGTGGTATGCGTACTTTATATTCTATCTACTTTATGTTACTTATATTCCTTCTAGAAGTCCAAGAGAGAAATGTAAACTTAGTTACATAAATAACTTTTAGATGGAGTTGATTAAAATAGGTTTGGAAGGATTTTCTATCAACATGATTTTTTAAATATATTTTTTCTTTTAATATGTTTTTATTGATTTTTAGAAGGAATGAAGAGGGAGAGAGAGATATAAACATCAATGATGAGAGAGAATGAATCATTGACCGACTGCCTCCTGCACACCCCACACAGGGGGGACGCTTCACCCTGGAGTCACACCGGCCAGGGATCAGAGGTGTTATTCAGCTGTAAGCTGAGGCCCATGCATGTTTCTCTGATAGGTTATGATGGAAGGTAAATGGTTCACACTAACTAAAAGGCAGGGTTTCACAGAACATGCAGCTAGTAGAGCATTCCATAGCCTAGTTACGTAGACAACACATGCTTTACTGAGAGATCGGTGCCTATATCCTATATTGGGTATTTTGCTAGTCATTGCCCAAAAGTTTCTATAACTTAGTCTTACCTTTTCATTGCTATTGCTTGAAGAAATACTAAATCATATTAACTAATAATTTAAAATATTGCTTATTATTGGACACCACTATTTCCAATTTTTTTAAATTAAATCTTTATTGTTCAGATTATTACAGTTCCTCTTCCCCCCGCCCCATAACTCCCCTCCACCCGGTTCCCACCCCACCCTCCGCCCTCACTCCCCACCCACTGTCCCACCGTCCTCATCCACAGGGGCACGATTTTTGTCCAGTATCTTCCCCCCCCCCCCCACCCCCTCCCCCCCCCCCCCCCCACCCCCCAGCACACACTCTGGATCACCATGGCAGCAATGTAACATTTCT